AAAAGAGAAAAAAAAAAAAAAACTAATAATATTAGAAAAAAACAAATTAAAGATATTAATTCTCAACAAAATGCTTTGATGGCTTATATTGAAGGTAATATATGTTTTTAATAGTATGTTAGTATACAAATTACTGTCGAATCTCTCAAAACTGATAACTTGAATTTGTCAAGTCTGTTTTTCTATATAATTCTAATAAATTATATTGTTAAATCTAATAACTCTTTAATATTAATACAAAGTCTGTTTACTATATATAATGATTTTAAGAGATTTAATAGTATTAATTTATATATTAATTTGCTATTATTTATAGATAACAAACCAAAGATTTTATTGAACCCTCAAATTCCTGTTGATAATATCAATCAGATTTATAATCCAAAAAGTAATAGAAATTGTGGATTTTAGGAACTTGTTGTTGCTATTAGAAGTAATGAAGAAAACTGGAATCTTGTCAAATTGACCATGAATGGTTAATTGAATAAGCATATAGAGGTTTACCAAAACTAATTGGATTATAATATTGATTTACTTAAACAAATACTAGAGTCTCAAGCATCACCATGTTCATCTTCACTTTGATTTTTGTTACCTGATTGTGCATAATTAACTGCTGATACTTTTTCTGTTCCTATAACCATCTCTGATAAGAATAGTGAAAAATGCACATTATTCTTTCCATTAGAATTACTACCAAACTTTAGAAAAAATCTGATTATATTGCATTTTATAAACAGTAATCATATTATATATGTTGATATGAAAAGTTACATAAGAGTGAATTGACCAATTGTTAATGTGCAATATATAATTATATGTCATAAATATGGTCTTGAAGACCATTGGTCAAAACTTTTTGCATAGCTTTATTTTTAATAAAATAAACAATACATTATATAATAAAAGCATCAAAAGAATAATATCTATTATTATGCATAAGGATAGTTTATTCTTTATGAAATATTATTCGAAAAATAAAAATGTAAAAGATATATTGAATGCTTTTTTTAATTATATCTTTTTTTAATTATATAGATATGCAATAATAACCAATTTTTAGTTGATTCAATCATATACGTATGTACCATTTCGATAGAGTCAGAGTTACTACGTCGTAGTTAAAAAATGGGGTACTCGTGTCGATCATTTGTTGTGCCGATAACAGAGATAAGTCACGTGCATGTTGTGTCGTTATCAATGCCCATTATCGGTAGGGTGGCGTGTTCACGTGAATTGGTAATTTATCAGGGTCGGTTAACTAATTTAATTAATCGGATCAATTTAGTGATGTAATTGATGTAATTAATAAAGGGAGGCACTTAGTTAATAATTTATGTATAACGATTACGATACTTTGAAGTAATAAGGATTCTAACGGATTTTTCAATATAACGGATATTAATTGATTTTTCTTATTAGGTAAATAAAACTTATAACAATAAAACTATTCAAACACGTGAGCAATCGATTCTTCTTATTCTACCATTTTAGACATTTAAAACATCGAAAAAAACTAACGAATTTATTAAAGGCTCAAAGGCCCTGCTTTTTTACGTAACGAAGTATTAGAATGTACGATATTCGAACGTTAGATCCTTGAAACTAGTAGTTTCGTTCGCTAATACTATTGCTACTCAGTTTCAGTGATCCACGGTTTCATCACTAAAGGATTTTGGTATGATTATACGATCTTCGATAAAAAAAATAGGTAAGTATATACATTTTTAGAAAATTCTATTTACAAATATAGGGCTTGTATTGATTCTAAGTTTCACACAGCCCGATACAATTTTCATCGTCACACCTTCCTCACGTTACCACCGTAACAATACCTACCACCTTTATCTATTAAGCCTAGATATTGCACTTGGCTTATCTTATTAATTAAATGGTACCCTGGAGATACATTGTAGTGGGTATGTAGTGCGAATTGATTCGATTATGAACGTAACCAATTACTATTTGATTAGTACCGGAATATCTTTCAGAAATCTCGGAATCCACAACTTAATAGTACCTCAATACTATTTAAAAGGGATACTTACTGTATACATTGCTAAAATTAGACAGATTTATTTTTAATCAGTGGAATTAATAACATATATAATGGGAATCTTTAATAATTTTTTATTTTCATTATTCTGTTTAAATTTAAGTAGATTCCAAACACGTTTATGTTACAACATACAGTATATATTGTTAATGATGATCAAAGCTTGGCAATATTAGTGTTATAATGCGCGCCGCTCTACATACCCATTTTAAAATTAAACTTCATCTATATACGTACAATTAAATCAGCCATGTTACACGGAATTAACGTTTGGTCAACTCGTAAACTAGTAATTGAATTTTGAATGGTGCCAATACCAAATCCAATCACTAGCTCATAATATTTATTATCATTAAAATTAGTCTAACATGACGAACTGATTCAAAAGCAGGGCGCTTATTACACCCATTCATTCTTGTATTCTATATACAGAAAGTACATAATAGACAATATTATTCGCTATAAATTATCAATATATTAACCCAAACGTTGTTGCATCTACTTATAAAATGCCAAGTATATTAAAATTAATCCATGCTCATGCAATCGAGCTATTTCAGTCTAGAACAAGAACTCAATCTTAACCGTAACATAAAACCAAAAAAAGTTTATCTAGACGTGACACTATTTGGCTGCAAAAGTGCCCAACCCATGGTAGAGGTATAAAGTACGTCCAACACTGTACATTGTATCATAAAAAAAATTATGCAAATATTACAAATAATTTTGATCAAAGGTAAATCCGAAAAAAAAAAAAACTTCAAATATTGCCATATAAATTTAATAATCAAATTATCAATAAACTATGTTTATCATTGTTATTGTTTATCTTTTACATAAAAATCCTTTTTTTTAATGGACAATTTAGGTAAGTTACTGTAAGTTATACAATCGTCATCCTCCACATTTCTATACATATTAAAACAAGAAACTTTATATAATCACGTTACTATTGAAATTTTATAATCCCATCTTTTTGATATAAAACAAACAACGTAATTATAGAAGAGACGACTATATAATAAAAATATAGGGTAGCTTACATTGAAATTTTATAACATGCCCAACCCTATTAATGATATATATAATGATAATGGATGTATTTTAAATCGATACCGGTAAAATCTCTTCTAATCTATTACATTCTATTCAATCATTATTAATGACTTCTATCACTTCAGTAACAGATAAGCAATACGCCATTATATTCAACTTATGTATTCCTCTGAATATCATTTCTCTCATCTCTTCAACTACCTCATGCATAATATTTGGCTTCATACGAATATACTATCCAAAACTCGCAAATAGAGTTTCATTTCGTTTAAGTTTTGCAGCCTTATTCTGTAATATAGGTTATTCCGGTCATCTTTTGGCTACTTTTTTTTTACAGTACTCCTGGGTTTTTTTGTGGATACATGGTATGATATCTATTAACTTCTTTTTCGGTATCCAATAGATTCCTTTTTATGGATTTTTTTTTTTTTAATTGCCTTAATTTCCTTCGGATCATTTATATACAAGATTTGGGCAATGGTGTTTTTCCTTCATACTTCTACATTTTTCATCGTTTGTATAGCTTTGGTATGTATTATAATTTAATAATATTTTTTGTATTTATGTATATATTTATATATATTTCACTTGTCTTTTTGCTTTTATTTCAGAACCTTCATCTAATATTTATAAACGAATATAGTAGTAGTCATAATTTTGAAAAATATTATTTTGTAATTTCATTTTCTCTTGCCCTTATAATCTCCCTCCTTCCTATTACCGCTAATATGTATGGTTATGATGATTCTGAAGGGTATGATATATTATTACTTTACAGTAACTGTATAATAACTATATAGTCACTATTAAACTTAATAACAACTATGTAGCTACCACATAGCTACTATATAGTTACTGCACATTACGATACTCAAGTATAGTATTTTGTGTAGGTAAATGCATATGCACTATGGTTGGGCAAAGTAATCTTTAGTTAATAATGTTCTATGACTTACTTAATACAGTAAAACATTCGTAAATGCACGCTCTTGGGACCGAACTTTAATTGAATGCACTTAGAGAACTATAAGGAAAAGTGCATTTATGGAAATCATGTATATATTTGGGCTGAACTTAAGCGTGCATTTAGAGAGGGTGCACTTATGGAAGTTTCACTGTATTAAGTAATTATTATATTCTATTACTTATTACGAAACACATGATAACAGTCGGAATTGAGTGATTATTATCTATCGCAAATATCTTATTTATCGCAAAATATCTTATTTAATATTAAGTAAAAAGGAAACGTCGATGTTACACGATGACCCTTCACCCAGTGTGCAACATATAAAAGATTATTTTACAACACCGGATCATTCCGCTAGTACATGATATGATTATAATCCAACACATTTTATTATAATAAAAATGGAGTTTGATTATAATAATAACATGTACTATCAGAATGATCTGGTATTGTAAATAATCTTTTATATGTTACACACTTGGTGAAGGATCAGTCATTTAACCTCGACGTTTCCTCCTGTTGGTAAGAATAATTTTGCCCATCTCTAATATGCAATCCTTACAGAGTATTCGCCTCTTAAATTTTTAAGTTAAAATTTATATTGAGTTTTAATTACCACTAACCTTTTACTAAAGTTCATAAATTTTATAATAATGATTAAAACTCATTATTTTATTTATTAACTTAGGTAATATAAGATAGGACGAATACTTTTCTGTAAAGAGTATATATATATATAGTATATTTTTTATGTTACTAATGTCAACTTATAATATGTTTTATTTCATATTTATTAATATATATTGCAGTAATTGTTGGTATCGTGATTCGGGTGGAAAGCATAGTATAATATGGGAATGGGTTACTCTTTACGGTTGGACAGATGTTTCCATATTGTACTGTATGATTGTTGTCATTATGATCATCATAAAACTCAGATCTGCGGTCAAGAATGTTAATATCTTGGATAATTCATCGACTTTTCAATTATCTGGTCATCCTACCTTAATTAATAAGGATGTGATTTCTTCGATTGTCAAGAGGGTTATGTGGTATCCTGTGGTGCCATTAGTAGCTCATTTTTTTGGCTCTTTCGTTAAAACGTACGCTTATATTAATCATGTAACCCCTTTTCCTCTATATTTTTGCTTCATTGGCATGTCAACTCAAGGTGTATTTATAAATAATAGTTTCTTTTTTTCTTGCTTTTTGATTATTCTTAATTTTGTTTATCTAATCTTTCGAATCTTAGGATTCCTGAATGCATTGGTATTTTCTCAAGATATTGCTGTTACTCGTGCGTTCCAAGCTGTTAAACTACGATGGTGGATCACCAATGTTAACTTTTATGAGTCTCATTATCCTCATCGATCTCACAACAAATCCATTACAGATAAGTTCGGCACGCATGGAAAATCCAATGATTTTGTTGAATTGCAAACTCTAAATCGCAATGATGTAATCGATGACGATATTATTAACAACGATGTTGCTAATAATAATCATAATAATCGGGTTTCACAACCTTCTATTTTAAAATGGTTAAGATACATGCTATTGATTAAACTTTTCTCTCCTCCAAAGAATTCATCTCGATTAATTTCACCTAAACGTTTATCTTATGTTGCTGATAAGCCTAATGCCTCTCCTTTGATTGGAAAGGATGATTCCAAGAATGATATAACTCTTAACAATCAAAATAATGATCTAGACATTCATTTAGATCTTCCTGAACCAGTTCATTTAAATAGTCCTTCTCAACATTCCTCATTATGTTCTAGAAATAATCAAATTATTAATCTAACTAATATAAACAATATAAATAATACAAATGTAATAGATATACCAAATTGTGCGGTTGGTAATGATGAAGGACAGATTGATGTCATACTTGTTAATTATTAACAAACAAAAAGAGTATCAGGATTTGAATTTACCTCAATAAATTGAACCGTTTTTTGAAATGATATTAAAAAACTTATAAATTTTTATTTATTTACTTTTTTTAAATAGTGTCAACCAAATTTTCTACATTTGTGATTTCATATTATTTATAATAACCATTTCAAAACCAAAATTAGTAAAAAAATACTTTTAATAATGATTGAGATAATAATGAATCGTAAATATACAAGACAGTCAACTGATCATTCCGTCCTACAAAGTACCCTAAACTTAAAAATACAATTAGCGTCCGGAATCGGTCTGGACTACCCCGGCCTGAGCCCGAACTGTTACATTGGTCACAGGCCCGGCTCTGAGGGTTTGGACCGGGTCAGATTTAAAAATATTTTTTACTGGGTTTGTGAAAGCCTGGTACGATCCGGCGCCCTCCGGACCCTAAATACAATATAAAAATTCATGTCTAACTGATTACTTTTGTTTTGTTGTCGGCTCATTACGTAGCTAAAGTTTAATCCAACGTAGTTATTATAACAGGAAGAACCGTCGACTGATCCTTCACCCGGTGTGCAACAATACCGGATCATTCCGCTAGTACATGTTCTGATTAGTTAATACCCCAAAATTTTAAGGTTCTTTGAAATACACCGACATATGTCTACAACCATATCCTAAAATATTACGTTTACTATATACACATACATGTAACTGGTAGGTATACATATGTTGCTGACTATCAGTATCCAGGTTGCTATTCCAGAAACCATCAAATTTCTTGAATAATACCCACCAGAGTACTAATTACGAGGGCTGTTTAACTCAACTATAAAATTTAGATCACAAAGATTGTGATGCCATTTCTCGTATACAATGCATGATTGAGTTTGATATACCTGCTGTCACGGGTTACTGGGGCGAATCCTAGGATGGAGCAACTGCGACGGATTGTCGCTTCAAAATCGTCGACGTCGCGTAACGTTACTCGAAAGCGAAATGAGGCGATACGATTTGGCAATAGCTAAGGCGGCTCTCGAGTAAGTTACTGGGTACGTATAGGGACTTTTCAAATGAACGTTTTATGTCTATTACACTCTTGACACTTTTTATATTTTATAACTGTTTTTATTTATTATTAATTTATTATAATTTTCTTTAAGTTACAGGAGTATGGGGGCAGAGGGGTCATCTCCCACTTAACATCAAAACGGAGGGCTTTTATAACGAATTATGAGGGAAGTATGCTTGAGAACATTCTCCCTTTCTTGCACCAATGTTTCCTTTTCTGTTAATTGTACAATCCTACCTTTTGACTCATGATTCCGTCTTTTAATTACCTTCTCTTTTCATAGGTCCCGCCGATAGAGCTACAGCCACATCTCCCTAAACGTCTTTGCGGGTTGAAGGCTCTGTTGTAAGCCCGTGAAAGTAAGTATC